AAGAGTACCATTTTTATGTACTTCATAGTAACACGTTTCGTCAGTTTCTTCTGTATTACAATGTCTTTTCTAGAGCTCGGCTAAGTTTTCCAACATAACAAAGCAGAAGGAAAACACTACAGTCGAAGCAGGAGAGAGTTATTAATGAGCTATAAAAACTGAGAGAGGAACTAGTAGTATTGATAAGTTCCATTAAACTCTTGCCAAAACCCCAGATTTGGCAACACACTGAAGAGTAATTTTCACTTAATATAAAACTTTTGCTCTAGTTTCATAGAAGTCTACAGTAGTTTCCCATCAACTGGACAGCTACTCCTGCAAGCACATTATTTCTTCAGTTCATGCCAGAGGAAGGGAATTACTCTTTGTCACCATCTTGCAGACCTGACATGTGACCTACTCTTCTGATTGTTAGGGTGTAGTCATTTAAAATATAACAATCAAAACCCATCATTAACCTAAAACCTAGTGCTTATTTATTACTTTGGTCTGAAACGAGATACACTGCGATCACACGAGCAGGTCAGCTGGCACGTTTGAAGGCTAACAACGAGGGACTGGAGAGCAGAAAGCAAACAACTGCAGCGGGAGAAGCATCAACCAAGGCCTTAAAGATGAATCTATTGCACATAACCAGCTGGAAAGCTGAACAAAGGAGTAACATTTTATAGGAAAAAAGCACTTCTGTTAGATTTAGAAGGGATGAAACAACATCGTCATCATGAACTTAAAAGCAGTGGGTACCACCCAAAATTCAGGATTCTAGCTGTTTTCTGCATTCATAACAGGATCAAACAAAGGAAGTTTTAACTCTACAACTTCACCCTAGGATTCTTAAACAGGTATTTTCAAACACCGCTTTAAAAGATGTACCTGGGGATCAGGAGGTGCTATGGAAGACAGAATGAGAGGGAAAGAGAGAGCCAGAATAAGGATATCCATCAGCTGAATCCAGATGAGATCCAAGAATGCATATATATCTTACTTCAGAGATACTACTTTTGCTTTACAAATCTAGACTATATCCCAGTTCCATTGTGATCATTTCATTTTTTTCTCTCTGCATAGAAAGAGAATAAAGGTAGGACAGTGTCTGACACGGGGAGGTACTGGCCACTATTTTTATTCACATCTTACCTATTTCAAAGCATGCATTGGCACCTCTGTCCAGAAGGAGACGCACCACTGCAAAATCAGCCACACTGGCAGCACACATCAGGGGAGTCCATCCAAACTGAAAGCTAGGTTCTATGCTTACACCTGTCAAAATTTAAGACACTAAAATCTTTAAATTACATCCATAAATCTTTTATAAAAAAGACTTTATAAAATCTTATTCAAATATGTATTAGCATGAAGGTTACACAGTTTCCACGTAGTTCTAGGGAAAGGAAAGCCTCTTATACCATTGTTGTTTTTTAAATACATCCTTCTCTGGAATACCAGAAAACAACTTTTAGAACTGACCCCAAGGAAGCCCAGTACTCAATCCAAGTAGGTAAGCACAACAGAAAAGCATTTAAATAATAATAACAAAAAAAATAACTGCAGATTAATTTCAGAGAAGTGAACATAATCTGTTTTCTCCACTTTAGTGCTACAGCTTTTCTCAAACTAAACCCCCAAATTTTTATTCTTACCAAGCCAAATGGGCTGCTGTGCAAGCAACGTGTCTGTCATACTATTAAGACCATACTGACTAGGGTTTTCCGGCTTCACGGCTCCTTTTATTAGCTGCCTTCCAATGCAGCTAAGCTGCAGATACTAGTTTTGTGTTCAGTACTATGAAAATATTATCTCCAAAGAAATATAATTTACAGTCTCTTCCAACCTATTCCCATTCTATAATTCTAAGATAAGATAATGCAAGATTCAGTCACCACCACCAGCTGTGTTAGCCTGTAGAATAGCACAGCCTCTTCTGTGGCTAATCATAAACGGGCCAGACGGCCCTTCCAAATTCACTAACCACGGAGTACCAGACCCAGCTACTCACGTGACAACTTTCAAATAAAAATCTTTATAGAGTTTTGCAGTAAGAGAAAACATCCCTTTCATCATCCGTCGTGTATTCTTTCCTCCATAGCAGTTGGTTGCCGTCAGCCGATTCCATGTTAGTCTAACAGTGATACGGATTACTGAATGTATTTCTTTACAAGGGGAAGTTGTGGAAAACACTGTCCTAAGAAATTTGGGACAGTCAAGCTACACACAAACCTTTTCATGCAGAACGTGTATTCACCTTCCCTGCCTAGGCAGCTTGGCAAAGATCTGCTCATTGGAGCAACGTGAAGCCATTAAAGCTGCGAGTAGAAAGTCCCCGCTCTGCAATTGATTCTTCAGCTGCTCAGGATCAGGAGTTGTAAGCAATAAAGAGGAAGCATTCAACGAATGCCAGGTTTCGAAGTATTCTAACACCTGCAAGCCACAGAAGCTATGATTCAAATCCTTTCAGCAATGCATACACACTAGCTGCAATCCTTAATGCCACAGCATTCCTGCTTGCCGTTTACAAAACGCTTCGCTGAGGCCCACTGGGCATGGCGGCGGCAGCGCGGGAGGGGGCTCGGGGGGGGGGGGCAAATCCCAGCGGGGGGGGCCGTGGTGGCACCCGGGGACAACGGGGCGGGGGGGGGGCACCCCAGGGTGCTCTCAGCACCCGCTACGGCCTTCACGGGCGGCGCCGCCTCAACCACCGCTACCGGGTGCTGGGGGGGTGGGGGGGAGATAAAAGAAGGGGAGGGGGGCAGCACCCCGGGGTCCCCTCCCCCCGCTCCCTCAGTGTTCTCCCATCCCCCCCCCAATGTTCTTCCCCACCCCCCCCACCCCCAACATCATCAGAGCTCCCCCCCCCGCCCAAAAAAAAAAAAAAAAAAGAAGTGGGGAGATGCAGCACCCCCTCCCCACACACAAGACCCCTCTCCCCACCCCCAAATTTGGGGACACACAGCCCTCCCCCATCAGCATCTTCCCCCCCTCTCAGGGTCTCCCCCTCCCCCCCCCAAAAAAAAAAATTCAAGAAGAGCCCCCCACAATGAAGCCCCCTCCCTAATGCCCCCCCTGCAAATTGAGGACACCCCCACCAAGAAACCCCCATTTATCCCTTCCTGACCCCCCCCCCTCAAAAAAAAAAAAAAACAAACCCTGGGGGGGGCCCCAGTGACCCCCCCGAATAAAAATATTTGGGGGGGTCCTTAATTATTGGGACCCCATTTTTTTTGGGGGGGCCCTAATTATTGGGGTCCCCATTTTGTGGGGGTCCCCTTTTTTTTTTTTGGGGGCGGGTGGGGAGAGCAAAAATAAACCAGGAGCCAAAATAACATTGCACAGTTTTATTGGGGGGGGGGGCTGTAATTAAAGGGGGGGCTGTAAATATCGGGGGGGCTGTAAGGGGGGGCTGAAATTAAGAGGGGGGTCTAATTAAGGGGGAAAACCCCTAATTTGAGGGGGGGGCATTAATTAAGTGTGGGGGGGCTTGTAATTAAAGGAGGGGCTGTCATTAAGGGGGGGTGTAATTAAGAGGGGGGACTCAATTAATTGTGGGGGGTTGTCATTAAAGGGGGGGCTCTGATTAGGAAGGGGGGGTCTAATTAAGGGGGAAAGCCTTTAATTAGTGGGGGGGGATTAATTAATTGGGGGAGGGTAATTTTGGGCAATTTTGGGTGCCCCCCCCCCCTGAAAAAAATTCCCTTTTCCCCCCCCCCCCCCCACCTTACCTGGGCCTCCCCCTGCTAGCAGCAGCTCCTGCACACCTTGTCCTGGGGGGGGTGAATTTTTTTTTTTGGGGGTGGGCGGATTTGGGGGGTTGGGAGGGGTCCTGGGTGGGGGGGGGGGTTCCAGGGGGGTTTTGGGGGTATCTGGGGGGGGAATTTGGGGGGAGAGGGTCTTGGAGAGGTGGGCCTGGGTAGGTCTTGGGGGTATCCGGGGGGGGATTTTGGAGGGGGGGTTGGGATTGGGGGTGATGGGGGGGAGTTTTTTTTGGGGGGTTCTGGGGGCGGATTGGAGGGGAAGGGGGGGGTCTTCGGGGAGGGTACCTGGGGGGGATTTTTGGAGGGGGGGGCAATGGGGGCAATTTGGGGGCTTGGGGGGGTCCTGGGGGGGTCTGTGGGTGGGGGGGGCTCTCGGGGGGGGGTCTGGGGGTATCTGGGGGGGATTTTGGAGGGGGGGCTTGGGGGGTGATGGGGGGGGGAGTTTTTTGGGGGGGGTCTGGGGGCTGGCTTTGGAGGGGAAGGGGGCGCTCCTGGGGGGGGTTGGGGGTAGCTGGGGGGGGATTTTTTTTGTGGGGGGCGGCAATGGGGGGGCAATTTTGGGATGTTGGAGGGGTTCTGGGGGGGATCTATGGGGTGGGGAGAGCTCGTCGGGAGGGAAGGCTTTGGGATATCTGGGGGGGTCGGGGGGGATTTTGGGGGGGGGGGGGCTTGGGATTGGGGGCGATGGGGATGGAGAATTTGTTTTTGGGGGGGGGCTTTCAGACACTGGGGGGGGCACATGGAAGGGGGTCTCATGCGGGGGAGGGGGGTGCAGGTGGGGGGGTTTACACGGTGGGGGGTTCACGTGAGGGGGGGGGCACCCAGAGCTCCCCCAGGCGCAGGGTCCCGGCCCCGCCACGTGCTGAAGCCCCACGAGGCCACGGCAAAGCCCCCCAGGACCCCCCCTGGGGGGCACAAGCTGGGACCCCCCCCGCCAAAAAAAAAAACCTTGACCCCGGCCGTGAGGATGACGGGGGGGGGGGGCTGAGCCCCCCAGCAGGTCCTGGAGCCCCCTCCCTTCTTGAGCCGGCCACGGGACCTCGCCAAGGGGGGCGTGGCGAGGAAAGTGGCGGGAAAGGGAGCGGAGTCCGGGGCCGGGACCACCGTTGCCGTGGCAACGCGCGGCCTAGCGCAGGGCGTCAAAACCGTTAAAAGTGAGGCAGGCCCTGGGGGGGGGGGGAATTTGGGGAGGGTCTGGGGGAGCCGGGAGGGGGTCCTAAAGGTTTGTCCTAAAGGTTTTGCCCCCCCCAGGCCCCGATGATTCCCCTGTGGGCCGTGGCGCTGACGCGGTTCCTGACGCTGATGGCCCACCTGGTGGCCCTGGGCAGGGTCGCATGGGCGAGGGTAAGGGATATCAAACGCCCCCCCCCAATAGAACAGCTCCCCCCCCCCCCAATAAGTACCCCCTCCCCGCATGAAAATTAATGGGTTTTTATCCAGCTTTAATTAATCGCCCGCAGGACACCCCCGTCCGCGCCTCGCTGCCCCTCGAATTCTCGGCGGAGGAGTACGCGCGTGTCAACACCGAGTGAGTCAGGGCGGGACCCCCAAAATGGGGGCCTGACCCCCCCCCTCATAGACCCTGCCCCCCCCATGGGGACACTGAACCCCCCTCCATGGGGATCCAAACACCTCCATGGAGACCTCCAACACCCCCACATGGTCCCTGACCCCCCCCATAAAGATCCTGACCCCCCCATGGGGTTGCTGACCCCCCCAAAAAGATCCTGACCCCCCCCTACAGGGATCCCAGCACCCCCAAAAGGATCCTGACCCCCCCCACGGAGACCCCAATGCCCTCAAAGGGATCCTGACCCCCCCCCCAAAAGGATTCTGACCCCCCCGACGAGGACCCCAACCCCCCCCATGGGGTCCCTGACCCCCCCCAAAGACCCTGACCCCCCCCAAACACCCCAACCCCCCCCCATGGGGTCATCACTGCCCCCCCCAGGAGGACCCCAATACCCCCATAGGGACCCTGACCCCCCCCCCATAAGAATCCTGCCCCCCCCCAGCGGATTCTGACACCCCCCAAAAACCTCTGTGGCCCCCCCAAAAACCTTCTGTGCCCCCCCCCAAAAAAAACATTTCCCCCCCAAAACCCCATTTATCCTCCCCCAAAAAACCCTGCCCCCCCAAAAACAAGTAACCCTCCCCCAAAAACCCTGTGCCCCCCCCGAATAAACCCCTTGACCACCCAAAAAACCCATACCCCTCCCCAAAAAACCCCACATACCTTCCCAAAACCCTGCACCCCCCCCAAAAAAAATAATGTGTGTTCCCCCCCCCCAGGCTGCTGTGCGCCCTGGGGTTGGCTGCGGGGCTGCTGGCCATTCGAATTTGGGGGTTTCTTCGCGGGGTGTCCAGGTTCCACCGCTTGCAGGGGATGTTCTGTATCCTGCACCCCCGGGGGGGGGCAAAAAATTGAGGGGGGGGCACCAAAAAGTAGGAGGGGGGGGCAAAAAACTGGGGGAGGGGCAAAAAAAATTGGGGGGGAGAGGAAAAAACGAGGGGGGTGGAGGAGTATGGGGGGGGATTGGGGTGAATGGGGGTTTTGGGGGGGTGAAGTGGGGGGGGCTAAAATATTGGGGGGGTAATATTGGGGGGGCTGGAAATATGGGGGGGGTCCTGGAATGTTTGGGGGGGGCTTGAAATATGGGGGGGGTCCTGAAATGGGGGAAGAGACAGGGGGACCCGTAAAATATGGAGGGGGTAAAATAAGGGGGATCCTAAATAGGGGGGGTGGAAAGGAAAATACGGTGGGGGGTCTAACATAAAGGGGGGGGCATAAAAATATGGGGTGGGTGAAATGTTGGGGGGGTGGGGGTTGGAAAAATGGGGGGGGCACTGAAATATCGGGGGGACCCTAAAACTCACGGGGGGGGGCATATTTTGGGGGGGGCAGATGGGGGGGATCCTAAATATGGGGGGGAACCCCAAAAGGCAGCTCAAAATGGGGGGGATTGTCTCAAAAGTGGGGGGGTACCCCAAAATGGGGAGGTGTCGCAAAAGGAGGGGCTCCTAAAAAGGGGGGGGCACCTAGAAAAGGGGGGGGGGCACCTAAAAAAGGGGGGGCACCCCAAATCCAATGGGCCCCAGCCTCTTGAAGCATGGGGACCCCAAAACAAGTGCGGGGAGGAATAAATGGGGCGGGGGGGTCCCTAAAATTCCCGGGGGGGGGGGTCGGGGGGGCCCCCCCGAGTTGTTCTCCTTGACCTCCCCAGCGCTGCGGTTCCACGCGGCAGCCTCCTTCACCCTGTATTATGCCCTGAGGAAGTGCTGGGAGGTGAGGGGCTTCTGGCTGCTCCTGGGGCTCTACAGGTGGGTGAAACAAGCCGGGGGGGGGCCCTAAGATTGGGAACCCCCCCAAAAAAATCCCCCCCCCCCCCAAATAAAATTAACCCCTCTTTTTTCTCCCCTTTCCATCCAGCGTCCCCCCTGCCATCACCGAGCTGCTGCTGCTGGTGGTGGCCGCCCTGGGCCGCAGGGGGAACCTGTGAGCAGGGGGGGCAAAAAATGTGGGGGTCCTTAATTATTGGGACCCCATTTTTTTTGGGGGGGGGGCAAATTATTGGGGTCCCCATTTTGTGGGGGTCCCCTTTTTTTTTTTTGTGGGGGGGAAGAGCAAAAATAAACCAGGAGCCAAAATAACATTGTACAGTTTTATCTGGTGGGGGAATTAGGGGAGGGGGGGGAACTGGGGGGGAGAGGGTCTTGGAGAGGTGGGCCTGGGGGGGTCTTGGGGGTATCTGGGGGGGGATTTTGGAGGGGGGGGTTGGGATGGGGGTGATTGGGGGGGGAGTTTTTTTTGGGGGGGTTCTGGGGGCGGCTTGGAGGGGAAGAGGGGGGTCTTCGGGGGGGGTACCTGGGGGGGGATTTTTGAAGGGGGGGGTAATGGGGGGGGAATTTGGGGGCTTGGGGGGGGGTCCTGGGGGGTCTGTGGGGTGGGGGGGCTCTGGGGGGGTCTTGGGGGTATCTGGGGGGGATTTTGGAGGGGGGGCTTGGGATTGGGGGTGATGGGGGGGGAGTTTTTTGGGGGGGGTCTGGGGGCGGCTTGGAGGGGAAGGGGGCACTCCTGGGGGGGGGTTGGGGGTAGCTGGGGGGGATTTTTTTTGCGGGGGGCGGCAATGGGGGGGCAATTTTGGGATGTTGGAGGGGTTCTGGGGGGGATCTATGGGGTGGGGAGGGCTCGTCGGGAGGGGGAGGCTTGGGGATATCTGGGGGGGTCCGGGGGGGATTTTTGGGGGGGGCTTGGATTGGGGGCGATGGGGGGGGAGAATTTTTTTTTGGGGGGGGGGCTTCAGACACTGGGGGGGGCACATGGAAGGGGGTCTCGTGCGGGGGAGGGGGGTGCAGGTGGGGGGGGTTTACACGGTGGGGGGTCACGTGGGGGGGGGTCACGTGAGGGGGGGGCACCCAGAGCTCCCCCAGGCGCAGGTCCTGGCCCCGCCACGTGCTGAAGCCCCACGAGGCCATGGCAAAGCCCCCCAGCTGGGGACCCCCCCGCCAAAAAAAAAACCTTGACCCCCGAAGGGTCAAAGATCATGGGGGGGTCAGAGGTCACGGGGGGGGGCACTCACCGGGTCTCTCAGCCGTGAGGATGACGGGGGGGGGCTGAGCACCCAGCAGGTCCTGGAACTGGGCTGGGGGGGGGGGGGCACAAAAAATTGGGGGGGGGGGCATACAATGGAGGGGGCACTAAATGGGGGGGGCAAAAAGGGGTAAAAGGGAGGGGTCCCGTTAATGGGGGGAGGGTGTTTTGGGGGGGATCGTGGGTTTTGGGGGGGGTCAGTTAATGGGGGGGCATTTTTTGGGGGGGGTCTCTCCCACGGGGGGGGGGGGTGCCCACCAATTGCCTTAGGATGCTTTGGGAAGTCTGTTGGGTGCTTCAGAGTCTTTGTGGTAAGCAAGCTCCCCGCTCTCTGATCAGGCAAATAAGATGCTTCTCTTTCTTTGAACAGAGCTGAGCCTGGTGCTGGGGAAAGACGACAGTCACATATTCACTCCTTCCCAAACCTTTGTCCCTTTCAGTATATGGATGAAGGGGGTCCTAGGTGGAAACATGGCTGCCATACCAAATTTCTGCCTTTTTTCTGCCCATTTGTTTTCCTGGACTTTTTTTGTTCTTCGTGTGTTTTTTGTTCTTCTGCATGTCTTTGCTTTTTGTCCTCTCTCTCATCTTCAAAGTCTAACCTACATTTGCCGGGAATTTCTTTGCAAGGGGGACAGGAATGGACCCTTGGCACCAAAACAACAAAGTCAGCACATGGTGAATTGGGGGCTACCTCTAGTGTATGTAAGTGGTTGCTGTGAGCAGCTCTGCTAACAAACACGGTCACAAGAAGAAAGGGAGGGGAGTAACTCTTTCTCCTCACATCTGTTGCACAAACTTGGGAGCCCTGTTGCTTTTCCACATGCAATGATTCTAACAGACCCAAATATAAATCTGCAGATAACTCTAGCTTCTTAAGAAATTCTCTACTAAATGAACTATCAATGGGTCAAGAAGTAGATATTCTGAAGCAGTTGTATCGTGAGTGAGAGCTACACAATATTTTTGTCTGTACCAAAGCAACTACATGCCATGGTCACAACTAATTCACAGAAAGCTCAGGTGAGTAACTAGCAGTGCTAAAGAACACATTATAGCGTAATGAAAAAATATAGAAGAAAGTAAACTTTTTAAATGCTGAAGAATTGATTGGTTAATCAGAAACTTAGAAAATGATGGTATCAAAATTTAAAAAGGGTGTAATCTATAAGAAAGTAGTGCTTAATTCATGCTATTAATAGTTTTTAGCTTGCCTCCCAGAAAAGACCAGTAAGTAGCCAACAGGAATAATTACAATGGATTCATAACAATCCTCCACCACTAAATAAGTACATAAATAAGAAGCTGTTTTAGTACATCGATATCTGCCATTTATGATTTTGAAAGAGCTAAAATATTAAGAAATATAAACCCGCTAAGTGTCTGATGACCTTCTCTGTAAGCATCGAGACACTTCTCTGCTATTCTACATCGCTTCTGGATGTAGTAGCTCATTTCATAACTAAACAACAGTTAGTATGAAAGCACGGTGGTATGAAAAACACAAACAGGTAATTCTTTAAAATTATTTAAGAGTGTTATCTTTCTGATAGATGTATGAGGATAGTTCAGTTTAAGGGAAGTTGGAACCCATACTCATACCAACAGACAGCTCATGTACTAGCTGGACATAAACTAAGGAAACTAAGAAACATTTCTTAAACGTTATGGAGAGTGAAGAATTTTAGAGAGTTTACAGACTTCCCTGTGTCCTATTTCTGTGCAGGGGACAGTCTGAAGGGTTTTTTTGGAATTAAACCTGAAACACAGGTTAGGATAATTTGTTATCTAAATTTGTGCTTTCTTAACTGAAGTTTCAAATTTTATGTCAATGCTAGACTGAGAGCTGCTCATGGATTATCAGCTGATTTAAAAGAAGAAAAAATAACATCTGCTTTTTTTGCCTGTATTGGCGCATATGCTCGGCAAAATGCACGACACACTATTTCCTATAGCAGATATGTAACATAGTTACTCACATAAACAAGGTCTTCTGTGTGGTAATTGCATTTGAAGTATGTTTTGAATTTGACTTAAAACTCAGATAAGCCACCTTCCTGTTCATACACAAGGGAAAGCTTATTTCCTGCAATTTCTGTAGGCATATAAAGGGTCAGATTTAGAAATGTAAATATTTGGAAGTTATAAGGATTATTCATACAGTGCTTGTAAATTTATATAAATACTGTATGAAATACTGTACTGTCATGCTTTCTGTCTTAAGGCTTTTCATAGCATCTGTGGAGCTCCAGGGAATTAAACAAAGAATGAAAAGCCTGGAGAGTTTCATTTCATTCACTGTATAATATGCATCTTACAAGGCTTTAGATATACAGATGATAGCGTTCTTTAGTGTTTAGAAAATTGCATTTTTTTTTTATATGCATCACCATTCTATGATGATTCTATGCTTCTATGATGATTTTATAAAGACATACATTGTGCATATGGGAAAAGTAATCATTATACTGTCAGCCTTAGGTTTAGCCTGTCTTTGCACTCAGGAATAAATTATAAGTATTTTAAATATGGTCACTATATTTCTATATATTATTTATTTATACTACTTTTATTAAATGACAAGTCCTTGCTATGGGACTGTGAAAATAAAATCAGTTGTGATTCCTGCTCTATGTTAACACATGATGATAATATGACACCTGAAATTTAAGATCAGTTGTTCAATGATACATCTTAAATGTTTTGTTCATCTTACCCTTGTTTCTGGGAGACAGATATCCACATAATAAAACCATTATAGCATTTTGCAAAAAGTAGTAGTAATGAGTTTGAAATTTGCAGAAGCTAGCAGTACCCAAAAGCACCCAGTCAGACCAGCCTGTTACAATAAGTCAGAGGAAAATACGAGAGATCAAAGGAGGAAAATAAAGAGCATGTGAACAAAGTGGCCCATCATGACGCTCCTTGTCTTACTATTCACATTGATTTCTGCAATAATTACTCTAGTTACTCAATTCAATATTTGCCCCCAGTGCTCTATCAAACATTGTTTTTGTCTTCACTAACAATGGTGTGAATGTCTGAAGGCTTGCAATGAAATAGTTGGTAAAGAACTGAGATATGTTTGCCAAACAACATGAATAAATTTGCAATATTGTATTATTTTACGCAAAAAATACTTTAGTTGCCAATGCTAATAACTCTTGGGCTTTTAAATTCACTACTTTCGTTTGAAGTGTAAGCACTGTAATGAAATAAAAACGTCAGCACATGCTGACTGAAATTCATCTGTTCAAAAAAAAAAATAAATCAGTTATTTCAGCTGAACAGAAATTGCTGTAACTAAACCTAGTATTATTAGCAATAATATTCTTGAAATTTCATAGAATATAAGACTGCTTATGCAGTCTGGATTGGCTTTTAGAAGACATTTAACAAACTTTATTTGGTGTGTTTCATTCATTTCTGAATGAATGTTGTTTATGAAGACAATATCCTTATTAGGAATATAATCTTAGAATAAATGCAAGAACTTGCATTAGGTTTGCTTGTGTATCTTTTTGGAATTACTTCCAAAACTCCACAGTATGTGTAGTGATGCTAATCATTCTTAGTATTCTCAAGAAACAAGAAGTGCTAAGAGGTATCGTATCTTCTAAACTTAGCCTACAGTTTGGAAAACAAGTACTTCAGTTGCTTAATTATTCACTTAGGCTTGTTTATATGCAACGTAAATAGCAAGTTGGCTTTGACTTGTCATAAAATGATGCTACTGTAGGTCCCAAACACAAATTGGAAACAGTTGCTAAATAAATCTCCCTGTAGTCAATTCAATCTTCATTCCTTATTTATCTGTTAAAATCCATGTTTCTTGTTGATGGTGGGTGGCTTTTTACATACTGAAAGATCATGTCTTCTGAATAAGCATTTCTTTTATTGTGTCAGAGTGACTCCCAAGATTGTTGGGCTGCAGGCAGCACTAAACACAGAAACAGAGCAATC